ACAATTGGCTTTGAACTTGAGTTGCTGTTGTCTTATTAGCTTATCAGCTCGAAGCAGTCTGCCCATTCTACCATGAACTCTGGCATCAACAAGGCAGTTTTACCCAGAGAAATGCCGCTCACTGAATATTTCCTCTTTTACAGATCATCCTCTTTATACCTCAGTGTTTCTGAAATACTAGGACAAGCACATCTGGCATGAACAACCATATCTTATTCTAAGTCACCCAAATCACCCCTATTCGCCACTCTGATGCTCCATTTGAACTTCAGCATGTTGTCTTGACCATATGTACCGGGTTGCTGGCTAGATATTTGAGTAAATAGCTAAACAGGTATGCCTAATGAAGTGGCTGGTGAGTGCATGCATGATCAAAAAACCTTTAAAGAGAATATGTGTAAGAATATACACTCTCTTTAATGTGTTATCTGCAAGCAATCAAGTAGGAAACTGAAGGAGCAGGAAAAAAGAGCCCCAATAAAAGTTACATACTACTTTACCTCTTAAAAAATGTAACGCATCCCGCAGCCATCTGATGCAGGGGGTGTCTGCCCAGCCCCCAGTAATGTCAGAACAAATTAATAATTTAATGAAATTAAAATTAAAATGCGAGGCTTGTGCAGAACGGGTACAATTACATTCCTCTAGTCTGTGTCTTTTTGCTGAAGAAGTGCTTTCATGATCAGAGAAACAAATAGCCACGTTCCACCAAGGACAGAGCAATTTATTGGGGCAAGAGAAGCATGTAAACACTTTTCTTGGTCTTTCTCATTGCCATCATCCAGATTAGCCACTAAACCTTTAGCCTTGAGTTTAACCATTCAGTATTCAGAGGATGATGGGTTGATTTGTAATCAAGGACATGAGGCTGTTTAGCATGCCAGTCATTTTCTGATAAAGACTGTCACTACACACTCTCCCATGCAGGCATATGGATCTCAGTTAATGAAGCCCTGTGAAAGGTTCTCTATAGGAGATAACAGCTCTCCACAGGGAAGTTAGAGAAGCAGAGTATATTGTATGTGGGTGGCTGAATACATTTGAAGAAGAGGGGGCAGTAACCAGGTGAGCTGAATTGCCTGGTTATGCATACTGTATGTGCCTTGGGAAACTCAAACCTTTCTCTTCATTTGTCTTTATTTGTTTTTTGTTGGAAAAAAACGAATGTAAGCTGTTATAAACAAAACGAAAGAGAATAATGAATCACCACAAAATTAAAACGTTGAAAATCTGCACGGTAGTGTGTAGTTTCGACGTGTGAATAATAGAATGATATGAATGTGGCTGCATTTAGCGAGAGCTTGCCAAGAGAGTGATCTACTGAATTATCCTTAATTTTTACCTTGTCAAGAATTTAGAGGTGGGGGAAATACATAAAATCAGGCTAATCTGATTGCAATATAGTTACTCACTCAAAATATGAATGTTTTTAAAACGCATATATCTCAATTCTGGCAAAAAACAAACAAACAATATTACAGCACAGAAAAAGAAGTAGCTTCGTTTTACAAAAGAACCAAGGTAACACTAATTATAATGTTTGCAAAATAATTATTGCAAGTTTGAGTGACAACACCAGCAAGAGGCTGAAATGCTCATCTACAAAATATGAGTGTCAGTTATTTGATGTTTTAATAGTGCTACTGCTGCTGTCCAATCAAGCAGCTCATCTGTAAATGACACTGAATATCCTGCAATATGATAACATTAGTGTTATACTTTGTGCATTTTTCTTTAGCAAAGAAAGCCTACGAATATTCTCTAATTTTCTTCATTCAAGATGTTTACCGAGAGGCTGATGCTACAGCTAGCATTAGTGTTCTGTCTAGATAATAAAGCTAAAAACTTACGTAGCTGCATGTGTTCCCTCACATAAAGCAGAGCTAAAAATCAATATCGAAAATCGATAAAGAACCAGATGGATCAGCAGAATCAATAGTGACACTGGTGTCAATAAAATCGTAACAATCCCAACTCCTAAAATGGAAATTGCTTAAAACGTTCTAGGTTGAGAAATACCTGAAGTTACAGTGTGTAAAATTTCACCACTAGAGGTCAGTAGATTACAGACTGCAGTTAACTGAGCTCTTTTTTTTCTTACATGAGTGCACAATTCTAGTTACAGTGGCTGCTGTAGGACAAAAAGTAAATGTAGTCGGCCAGTCTTCTCTTTATCTCATCTGTCCATATGTGTCCACATCTGTTTACCCCGGAGGAAGCTGTAAAACTTTGTGAAAGGAGTCGTCAAGTCGGTGAAACTCACTTCCACCCGATGAGAACAATAGGTGAGTTGTTGGGGATAACCTGAACTTTTCTGTAGCTAACCACTGCTGTTTTTGCTGATGTTAGCTGCTGTTAGTAAAGTGGATCTAACATTGGTTGACTTGGACACTTGGCAAATAAACTCTCATACGATGTGAAAATGTAATCAAACTGTTTATCAGAGAGAATGTGCACATTGAGTTGACACTTGAGTTCAACATTAGCTTGCATAATGCTGTTTAACTGGCTCAGTGTCAGCTGTCGGGAGACAGGAGGGGGTCACGTGTCTGATCTGCTGACAATAAGTAATTGTGACAATATTGGGAATAAATAAACATTTTTATGCAGATTTTCATGTGGTACAGTCCTGACTTTGGTTCAGGAGTCGAGGACTGAGGTGAAGAGGATTGGGATGATGTTTTCTATAGATGCTGGTCACGTTGTCTCTTTCCTTCTTGTTTTCACTTCTTTGGTGGAGGGGACCTCTGCGCAGATGATGAAACATAGGTATCACCTTGAATCTGAAGGTGCAGACATGAATTAAAATTTGCCTCCACAGTAGGCGAATGCCTACGAGTTCTCTTCTCCTCCACCTTTGACATATTATGTATGTGGCCGATCTCTAGCCACATACATAAAACCTGATTAGGCTGAAGGATGATGTCCATGTAGGACATTGTTATCAAGTGGTCGAGATGGACTTCAATCATATTATTGTGAATTATGTTTCACAAAATGTTTTATGTTTTGCAGTGCATAACGTTTTCAGTAGTCGTCTCTTTTTTTAATGTCAGTCACATCAAATGTAAAAATGGCATATACATTAACCTTGCTCAGCCTTTACACAATTGATTTAAATTACATTTTCTAGACTGTCCTAACATTTGTGTAACCAGTGTTACCGTGTATCATTATGGGCCCAGCTGGAATTTCATTAGAATCTTTCACAAATACAAAATGTATTAAAACCGTGCTGCGATAAATTTTCATTAAAACTCTCCTTATTCACAGCTGGACTGATAAATATCCATGCCGTTATCAGAATTAATACCCCGATTCTGATAATGATGAACACAAATATTTTATTGATGAAGCACAAATGAATTACTGGCCTTCAACTAAACATGCACTCCCCTCCAAGAATAACTGCCAAGTCAAGACAGAGCATCTCAATAGAAAAACGCCTGAGATGAGAATTGAAAAATCAGCCTTGCGTGTCATCAGTACAAATGAACTGGCCTCCATGACTGTGGAAAAATGCCTTCCTCCGAGTCTCCTCTGCTTTTTGTTGTCCTATGAATATATTCATATAATCTCCTTGTGAGGGGGTTGTGAGCATTACTCACTGTCAGCCTGCATTGCTTTGTGGAGATTTGCATAACTCATTGGATATAATTTGTCCACAGGTCACTCCAAACACCAAAGCTCCACACTGTAGACACAAAGACACACCCTTGCTATTCATTTTATGCTCAGAAATTGATCTAATGTAAGATAATTACTCTAGCAGCTCTACCGACAGCAGCAGTAGAACGTGTGTAAGTGCAAACCCATGCATTTCATGTTTTTATTATGTTTGGAAAGTATAAGCATGGTGCAGTTTGGGAGCTGTAGTAAACCAGAGTCAGAGAGCAATCCCCTCCAGTAGTGCTTTGTTCGATCAGCACGACAGAGTGGGATCTACGATACACTGACAGGAAAGGCTGGATTCGCTCTGCATGGCTGCTCAAGCTGTCGGCAAGGACAAGAAACAGGCGTCTGTGCAAAAATTGCAGATGCCAGTCTCTTTCAAGATGAATAAATATTGCAGATGAACAGATCATATTTTGGATGATAACAGAAAAAAAACAAGCAAAACTAGACGAACAACAGAAGCTGCTTAAAGTGACAAACGTCAAAGCACCAAAAAGCAACTGTAAAGAAGCAGATTTATTTTAACAGCTTTTAATAATTTCTTTTAAAAACAATAACAACAACTAAAAAAACATTAAGCCCATTGGGCCTTTCATTCTGACCAACTGTAACTGGAAATACTATCCTTTGAAACAAAACTAACAAAGAAAAACAACCATACAACCACAAAAAGACTTAGTGGCACGAAAAGAGAGAGATTTGAGACAAATCCTGCTGTGCATTTCAGAGGCGGGATGCAGCTTCTCATCTGCTCCAGGGGGGATTGGACAAAAGCAGAGGACCATGGCGTTTTGAGAAATGGGGAGAGAGGAGGGGATGAGCGATAAGGATTCATTCTTGCTGACGCTTTAGTGTTCCATCAATAAATTGGGACAAACATGTTTTCAAGTGATCACCAAAGACTGGAAGGGAAAAAATGGTCTGTATTTGTATTTGGGAAGAGCATGAGTTAATGGGGGGCAAGTAAACAAGAGCTGTATTGGCAACAAATAAGTGCTATTTTGGTGGTGGAGCGTTATGGGCTGGATTGATGCTACAGCAACTTGAGTTGTGTGCTGAAGCAAGAAAAAAGGGGAACAGTCTTTCAAGAGATTTCAGAATGACTGCACCCATACTTCCACACTTAAATAATTGGTTTCTGAATGCAAATGCCTGAGCCAAAAGCACTGGACCCAAAGCGGAATCCACTTTCTTTCTCACCAGTCCCTGATAACTACAGCTTTCAGGGAGCAAAATATAACTAATAAAACAAGAGGTGGACAGTCTATTCCAAATTATTTAATCACTAAATAAAAATGTATATTTCAAGTTTGCTAGCACATTACCTGTTCTCATTTCGTTGTGTATATCTTGGTTGAGGGTCAGTATCTCCATCATTTACGTCATAGCTGGCCTCAGGGTCCTAAAAGAGAAATAAGAAAAGGTTATGACACCAATCAAGTGATTTTACATTTCTTTTAAAGAGCTCGCTTAATTGTTTTTTCCTCTGTGACTAAATGTTTAAAAAAAAAAACCCTGAAAAGCTGTCGGTCGGACCTTTTGTGTGCACAAGGGTTTTGGATGATTTTGATACAGCTAATAAAACAAAGGAAGTACGAAATTTTAGTGGCTATAATTCTTACTGAATAGCATGAAAATTAAAATACATATCAAAAAGTTGCCCTTTTATCATCACCAGTTAAAATAGACATTTTGTTAATTGGTTTCAAAATGCATCGTGTGTTGAGAAGTTTGGGACAAGAACATGTCCGGCTCCATCTCTGCTATTTGAAATTTATGACTTACGTAATTGCTTATGAGGTCGGGATGGTCCTTCTCAATGCCATCATCCAGGATAGTGACCACTACACCTCTTCCTGTGTAGCCCTGAGCCCAGGCTGCTTTTGTATTCAGATCTTGATGTGTTGGGTTGGACTGGAAGAGACAAAGGCTTTTGTTCAGCTGTCAATCTGCCATGACTGACTTTTCCGAGACAAAATGACAGAAAAGGTCTGTCAGTGAAAGAAGGTCCTACATCTTCTGCGAAGACCTTCTCTGCTGCATGTTATTAAAAACAGCATCGCTTGATACACCTGACACCAAGAAGATACGAGGGGAGATCAGAGGTGCTTCATGAACATTTTAAACTCCCATTTTAATGCATCACCCCGGTATGTCTGCCTCCTCAGGATGAGTTGCCCATTGTGAACATCCTACTGTTGTTTTGCTGTCAGTGAAAAAGAAAGACAACCTGTTGCAGGTCAGGCATCTTGGGGAGAGAGCATTTGCCTCTCGTACTGAAGAAATAACATTCGGCAGCATTCGAGAGGAGAGGGAGGGAGGCAGACAAAAGGCAGCGGTAAAGCGTGATTTGGAGGAATAAGTGAAAATCTGTACAGCTTGAAGAATAAGGAGAGGTGAGTGCGAGAGCTGACAGAGATGGTTACAAATAAACACAGATATACGGGAACAGAAAGACATTAAGATAATCTCCTCTGCCTCCTTTTCTTTTTCCAGTTTCCCTTTGACTTCACATTGAAGTGCACATAGCTGAAACTTATGAATACATTAAATACACATTATTAAATTCAGGCAGACACAACTCAATACATCACTTAAGTTTGCCCTAAAGTGACTGTGCTAAATAAACCTTTTATAAAAGAATTCTAAATCCCATAAATTTATTATGTGACCAAAACAGAACTGCAGCACTGGTGGTTTGTGCGTTCAGCTAAACCAGCTTTGTTTATTTGTTTGTTTAAGCCAGAGCTTTGCAATGTAGTTGAAATAGGAAAAAAAGGGTTTAAGGCCTGAGACGATTAGAAGTCTAATGCTGAATGGCAGAGGTAGTTCCACAACTTCTATTCACTGGTGATTTATGTCTGGGATAGTCAATGTTGTCATTAATCTGCTGAACTGACAGAGGTTTTATGTAGTTAAAAAAAAAAAGGGGGGGGGGGATTAAGGTGAATTGAGGCATCTCTGAGAAAAACTGCGAATAATGAAACAGACATGGAGGCAACATTATATGCTATCGATGCTTCACAGGTGATCTATCCTGACATGTAATTGCACATTCAACTCAACGTCGTGGAAGGCACTACATTATATATTTGACTGAGAAAAAAAAAGTTGCAGGAGGTTAAAACAGGCCAGGTAAAGAATAGCCCATAACGGAGCAACACATCTTATGATTACCAGACCAGCTGTATTTGAATATAAATCTTCCACTTCAACAAAGAATATAGCTTGAAAACAGGCATTCCTACAGGCTGCTACTGAAATGATTGAATACAGAGAGGGCTTGAAAATGTAAAGTGGGATTTCAAATGCATATGAGAAGCAGCCACTATATAGTCAGCTGACTGTACACCCACTTTATTTGTTGGTGAAGCATAGAGATATCTCTTTTAGAAAACTAGAACCATGCTACTGAAAATCTCATTATGTATGGTATTTCATAAGCATTTTAATTATTCCATTTCCCAATTTTAACATTTTAGTAATAATGTCAAACTAATGAGATAGATGGTAGGAAGTCTACACACCAGGTACCACTGCTTAGGGAAATCAGGATCCGTTAGGTCTTCATACACATCCCTCTTCTTCCTCTTTTTCACCACTTGCTGCTCTGTCCACAGGACCTGGATTGTCAAGGCACACACACGCGTGCACACACGCACACACACAAACAGCATGCCCACACAAAGCAAACAAGCAAACCCACACGCAAAAAGAAAAAGCACAGTTTACTCAGGAATCCTCATGATATTGTGTCATTATTAATGTTCTAATTTGAGAAATTGTTGCTGTGTCCCACAGACTGGGGATGTAGGAAAACACGGTCCCAGCTGTGTTCAAAAAGTAATAACTAGAAAGAGAAGCAGAGATGTGAAGAAAATCTAATTTAGTTCATTGCTAAATTAGATTTAGCAATGAAGGTGGCTACTGTACAGTGTGCCTGAGCAGGGGCCTTTGAAGTTGGGAGGGCTGCTGGGAAATGCTCAGGCTCAGTAAGTAAGGGTAACAAGTCTTGCTAATATCACACATAGTAAATTTCATATGGTGGTTTTGCTTCAGAAGTTGCAAAAAACAATGCAACACACAATGTTAACAGGTCACACAGCAAATCAGTTAATGCCATTCAACATTTGGGTTTTCATGCTAATACCCATATATTCTGAACACTCTGAGTACATGAGACAGTAGTAAGAATGCTAAAAGAGACCTAGTTTAAATAGACCCATTTAGGTCAGCAATTTATATTCAAGCCGTGACAAAAAATAATAAAAGGACAGCATTCATATGCTTAACAAGGAATGCCTTGTTGTAGGGGTGTGCAAATAATCACATTTTAACTTCTATTATGATTGACAAATATTAAAAACAACTATTAAAACAAGGTTAAATCGATTATTGTGGTGTGTTCCATTACTTTGGATCCGCCATAAAAATTCAATTTCACTATCTGAAAAGCTTTAGAAGATACGTTTCTCATTTTTTATTATTTTTTGAGTCTATCCATTTAATTAAAAACCCTAAAACAAAACCCAAACAGCCCACCCACCTCCAACAAGCATAACCCCATAATTATACGGGGTTTTGTTTATTTTTATGCAGAGCAGCTTTACCTCATGGTCACCTGTCAACTTGTCATCTATACAGAAAACACACAAATAATGCACTGGGGCATTGCTTTTTGTTTTTTGCTATACTTGTGTAACTACACAAAAGTTAACTTTCTTAAAATAAGGACAAAAATACTGAAAATACAATTCAAATACTGACTTGGGCTGAAATTATACTATAGCAGAGGGAATCTGCAGACAGTCGATTGAGTGAGCTTACAGCAGAGGTTTATTTTCTACAGCACTTAGAGCAAATGCTGTTCTGCATTATTATTATTGTCAATGATAAATGCATCCTTTGCTGATTTTTTTGTTGAAGGTGAAAAAGCCCAAACTTGCTCTATCTGCATGGAGAACACTCAAGTGAAGCGTGACTAAACTTTTGAATTTCCTTTACAATGCAGACTGTCAAAGTACAACTTGCTATTTAACTATTTTAGGTCTTTTCAGTGGATTTTTTTTTAGCATTTTGCAATCGCTTTGCTGCTGTTGGTGTTGTTTCTAATGGTGAGGCTTCTCTACTTGCTCGACTTCATGATTATATGCTTCTGTAAAGCACGGGGTCTGAAAGAAAATGTGTTGAGTACAGCTGCTGAGGGTGTAAGCTCCAAACCCAGCTGAAAACTTTGCCTTATTAACCTCATTGAAATGATCCTAGACTAATTAACATTTATCTCATTTCATTACATTTATAACTGCACATGTCTGACCTCACCGCACTGCTGCCCACTGCCCGCCACATTATTAACGGAGCAAAATTACCACCCATGATAATCTGCATACAGCCATCGACTACAGGATAAACAGCATTTCATTTATAGCTAAAGCTGACTTCAAACATAATTAATGCAATCTCTTTTGCAAATTGAGCAACATTTCAGCAAGACGACCTCCGCTTAATAACTACAAAAAAAAAAAAAAAAAGGTGGAATCAGTTTATTTCTGGAGATTAAGTGATCTTTGGAAATTAAAAAATATACTTCAAGTGTTGGGCAAGGACAAAGACTAGACAAATACAACCACCTGCACAAAGAAATAATCAAGAAACAAGGAGGAGGTCTCCACAAGGGCTAGCACTGTAATCTGCTTGAGCAATAAACATTTGTTCCATCTCTCTCAGTGTGTCCTGAGGGTTTTCAGGTCTGATGACTAAGAATGCTGGAGTTGTTGGCAAAGCAGAAAGAGAGAGAGCAGTGAAAAAAGACACACTGTCCTTTGATCTATAGCTCTGTGGCTCACTTTAAAGAGAAAGAAGGAAAGAAAAAGATACGTTTAGGGACTTTTTCCATTGCTATTTGTATGAATACATCTAATCAAATGACAATCACCAATAAATTGATGCCACTAACTACTAAGGCTGGGACTTATAGCTGAAAACACCATGATTATATTCATGAAAAACATATCAACGAGACGGTTAATAAGGAGGGTATTATTCTGTCTGCAGTATGCTTTGGAAAGTTTAGCAGTGAATGTAAACATTCCTAGTTTGTTTAGCAGGAAATCTCACAGGGGGCCTTTTAATTTGAAGCTAAATTGAAAATGTCATATTGAGCTCAGGACTGAAATAACTAAAAATTTGTTATTGTAGGAAACTATCGTGTCAATCAGACTGCAGGAGGGGTTGCTTGGAGACAGAGCATGCAAAGAAAAAAAGAAAAAAGAAAAAAAAACTGTAACAAATTTTGGGTATCTCATGCATCATTGAGATCCATATATTTCACAAACTATTTAGTCAATAGCCTTTGATGCTCCGTAATTGATTTTACAGACTAGCCATGCTGCACAAGCTCCAATATTATTTCTTGATATGGAATTATTTCACAATAAAAAGTGTCAAAAGCAACAAGAGAAAAACAGACAACACGTCTTTTAAAGAATGATTTTATTGAAAGTACACTTGTTTACCTTAACTTTTCAATAAAGACAGATATTAAATATACATTCATCTATTTACAGCAGCACTTGTAAGCCTGCAAAGCTGATCTCAGGTTTGCACGCTGATGTGAGAGTCTGATTACCATGTAAAGGTAGTCTACAAGTATGAAGATCAGCACCTGCTGCTGGGAATTGGACTGTGATGATGGAATACAATGAACAAACCATCCAGAAGAAACGGCATATGTCACTGGAGCGGGAATGGTACACCACTGGCCAATTTCTGAGTAGTAACGGTGGATAAGGCATCTGTCTTCCTTTATTCCTTAATGCACTATATTACACTGCATTACAGCTGCCCATTTTTACATTTCCTACATGCCTCTGGTAATGCAGCCTGCACACATGAAGGCAGCCTCTCATGCAGTTATCATAAATTACTACAAGTAATACCTTTTCTCACGGGTAGAGTACTATAAGGTCTTGACCCTACAATGTAAAGTACACAGAGATGACTGTTGTGAATTGGCTCTATATAGATATATATGAATCAAATTTAAATTTATCATTGTCATTGGAGGATTTTGTAATAATTATTACAACATTTTCTCAACCAGCTCTTCTACAATTTCTGCTCTAAAGAGATTTTATCCAGATCCAAGAAGAAATTGAATTTTTTTATTTAAAGATTTAACTGAATTTCTTTCCTTTTTGAAAATGGGACTTTATGATCCTTTTAATAAAGAAAAATTAATAAAATAAGAATCTGAAATAACATTCATAATAAGATAAGATGGCACATACGCACTGCCTTTATGGTCTATGCCCTGCATAAACCAATGTACTTATGTGAATGGTCCGCCCCGAAAGGCCACTCTGAGTCACGAAAAACCCTGCATTAACAAGCACTGTCTGTATATCCAAGGCTTCAGACACTGAAAGCATATTCCCTTCTGCAGCTTTAGTGTTGTCTCAACAATAAAAAGATCAGTGAGCCAGACATTACGACGAGCATGGTTTATTTTGAGGTGATTACACACATATTGCGCTGGTGCTGTAAATCAATGATGGCTTCTTCAAGGGTCTGGAAGATAATATCGAGGAATATTCACGACATGATGAACAGAAAACAGATATTCTTCATCTCGTTTGATTTTTTTCTTGTGAATTATTGGATCACTTTAGTTTTTTCAAGCCTTTGAAAAAGATTAAAATGAAACAATATAAGGAGGAGGAATCGCACTGTCTTGAAAATAATCAGTCATGGCCCCGACAAATGCATTTTTTCCCCACCCTCTTGTTCCTCTTGTGACTCATACTTAAACATTTACGTCAGTAGCAACCAGTGGGCTTGGGGCTGAATGCCAAGCTTGGTAAGTCATGAGTTCACTACTGAGAGTCAGACTAATGTATTATTGGTTTTGGTCTCCTAACGGGATTTGTTGACAATAATAAATGCAGAATTTTGTCAGCCTCATCCAATATGGCCTCATATAGCAACTAAAAATCCAGCATACTTTTACAGCCAGAGTGAAACTTTCTAGTAAAACTGTACGAGAAACAGATGTAGTTTAAATTCCAGCCAGGACACTGTGCACGCTGCCTTACACTACTGTTCATAAGAAACCCAACAGTAGCCGCCCCAAACAAATCAATTCTTTCCCTCATAAAGATGATACGGGGTGTGGAGAGGAGATGACAAACAACTCTCGCAAGCATTATGGTGTAAGCTTATGCAGCTGCCAGTGTCATCATGCCACTGCGTGATTATTCAAAAGGCATGGTGATAAGCACGTTAGCTCCACAGAGCTGAGGAAAAGAGACAATGGAGGTAATGTGAGTTACAGCTGCTGGATTACAGAGAGGAAACACTGTAACGAGCTCAAAGCTCAGCAATGACTAATCCAAATCCAACCATTGTCTTTTTATTTATTTATTTATTTGAAGAAAAAAAAAAAAGGTAAAGCAAAACCTTTACTGTTCTTTATTTTTTCCAGAGATCAGATGGTCTTACAGAACCATATGATTACACAAATGCACTTAAATAAAAACACAAAAACAAACCCACTCACTTATGCTTCTGTGGCATGTTTTTGGCAGTGGTCATGCTTTGCCCGAGGTTTGCTCTGGTTGTGTGGGTGGTTGGGCAACCTAGGGACAAGTTGTTGTGCCTGAGCCAGAAATCTGCTGCCCTTAATAGCTAGGTTCAAGTGCTGCGTTAACTTGAACTACTGACATTCCAACTAAGATGAACTCGAGATGGAATCTCCTTTGTCAAAAATGTCTTTATAATAGGCAAGGCTGTAATTCTTAGGCTTTGACGTCAAGGCAGCAGTTTTAAAGTGCAGATTGGTTTTTCTCTCATTTGGTATCAGCAAAAAGCCCACAGAGCACATAATACACCTCAGTGTCCATCTCATTGTTTTATTTTAATACTTTCAAGCCACTTATTAGGAACATATCAACTTTCTATTGACAGATTCTCACTTGGGTTTTAATGTTGCTCGGTCCCTTCTGCACCCAAAATCCAATATTACACATCATTAAATCTTCCTCAGTAACAATAATTCTGATTCTGATTAATAAAACCCTTGTTTCTGCCACTGCCTGTGCTAAATTTACTTAATTGTGTGTGGGGGTTTTTTTTTTAGATTTGAAAACTATGTTTTATGAATTTGAGAGCCACAGTACCGATATCTGCTCAGCAACCAGATTCCCTGGATGCTCTCAGAGACTTGTTGTCATCCACTTACCCCAACCCCTGATACCACTGGCCTCAGTGCACGTCACCATATCCCACTAATGATGTCTTGGGGCCTCAGAGCTTGTCAGAGCACATCAGTCCTTTCCTCGGCTGGAATGACTTGGACTCAGGAAAGCTACAGATTAGTCCTTGGGTTGCACTTGGCAAAACTACCTTGCTATAGATGTTCTCACTGGGTAACTGCCTACTTTTTAGCACCAGTCTGGCAGCTCTGAAGATGCTTTTAGAGCAGCAATTACCTCAGCTGCCTCCCTTGTTTCCAGTGTAAACACTGCAGCAACAAATGGCTAAGCAGACATTTGCACAGATGCAGTACTTCTGTTGGTCCCTGAAATGTGAGGTACTTGATTTTTTAGAAGCTACTAAACATTCTGAGAAATATTTTTATTGTAGAGAAGTCAAATGACATTATATATGGCAGATTTAGCCATAGTTTTACTATAAATTCCCATGTATACAGATGGGGTTTTATTCAAACAGGTTTTGCCACACAATTCACACTACTATACTACAGACTTCACACCAGCTTACTGCAAGCCTTCATCCAGGGTTTATTTTAATATACAAAAGCTGAAAAGGTTAATTTAAATAATTCCTATTTCACACATATACATACACAAATAGATTTAAAAGGAGACGTTTAATAAAAGAAGTGTTATGATCTAATATGGTTTCACCTCTTTAGGTGACAGTCATCTACTTATGTCCACTTGATAATGGTAACTGCACATTTATCTTTTCTACATTTTTAGAATAAACTGTAGAATATCAGCACTTTAACACTCAGTTCTTTCCTCCACACAAACTAAATAAGACTATATCTGCTGTGTTTGCTTAAAAATCTCCCGTAGGTCTGCATTTCCCCTCTAAGTGCTGTTTGTTTTTTGTATGTGTTTTCTTACAGGTACATTATTTGGTGACCCAGTGTGTTTTTCTACTCATGCTCTGTTGCTTTATTTGTATTGTTTCTCCTATTTTCTCTCCCTTTTTCCTTTTCCTGCCAAGACAGGTTAAAAAAAAAATCTCCTGTGTATTACTTAATAGTTTAACCCAAATCTGATTTTTTTAAAATGCTTGCAGCATTAGTAAATATCTCTTTGCCTTCAGAAGGCAGTGCTGTAATGATCTCTAAATGTCATATCTAATTAGCATTTCATGCTTAAAGAAAAGCATTTCACATTTTTGCAAGTATTATTTTCTCTGTAACTGATGTGCTTTGATCTGTTGGCTGCAGATGCAAATTCTGCTATAATAAAGAGCGTGATATAAGGTTTATAATGTGAATCAGTGTTTTCTAACATCAACCGACAATTTTGTTTCTAGCCAGAACATAAACATTATTATCAGGGAAAAAGCAAAAGCGCATTTAGGTTTTTTTACTGGTTAGTAGATGCTGTTTTATTGTTCAGGAACAGTACAAATACACAGTGGTCTGGTGATATGATGCTGCTTATTCCATAATCCGTGAAAAGGAGAAGAAAAAAATCTCCCAATTTTGGCACTTTGGTTTTTATATGTGGTCCACAGAAAGTTTGATTTTGTGAACCAATTCTAAAATGGTGGTTGATATCGGGTAAATATCACATCTATATATGGTAAATGACTTTTATATAACGCTTTTGTGCTCGAGCACTCAAAGCACTTTAGAAAAAAGATGCCTACTTCACTATTCACACCCATTCACATAAGCACCTTTACTATGCTCAAGTGTTTTCCATCTAGCATTCAGCTACATTCACACGCCAATGGATGCATCGGTTCAGTATCTTGCCCAAGAATACTTTGCCATGCAGACTGGAGCAGCCAGGGATCGACACACCAGCCTTCAGATTAGTAGATGCCCCACAAATGCGATTTTTAAATATATAAAAATGGCATTTACGTTTTAGAAAATGTAAATGAAAATATTTATTAGAAAAGAAAAAAAAAAACTACTGAAAATGCTCAGCTAATAACAGACTCTCCCAGCTGTTGTGCTGGGTGGTTTTGCATATTTACAGCTACTTTGGATTGGGTCAGGGGACAGATGGAAGGGACCGGTGCAAAGACTTTGACAAGCTGTCACCGATTCTGACATCCCTTTTCTCTCGTGATATACCCACTCTCTATGTGCAATCCAATCTGTCTTTTGGCCTTTTGTTGCCAACATGAAGTGCTACAATAAGCTGTGCGAGTGCTGACAACAGTCTTACCTGTGGTTCTTTTTGCAGTCTGATGTGCATCCTCTTGTGGCCAGACAAAGCTCTCTTCTCCACGGCGTGATGCCTGAAGTGATAATAATCTCCAAAAACCTGCACCGACACATAGGGGAAGCGCAATCAGTTCACCTGCAGCAACAGGATGGCCAAATAACAGCCTGTTCTCACCAAGGCATTCATGTGCACATGAGTAAATGTACAGGGTAGTGTTCAAATCGAAATCTGAGAACAGGCTCACTTTTTTCCATATTTAAGATTAAATAAACATTTGTTACTTCACTGAGTTGTAGAAATGTGAACATCTTTTGAAAGATTACACGAAAACAAACAATATTTCATCAACAGTCATAATGCATGACATGAACTTTAGGCACAGAAGTCCTCTAAACACCACAAAAGAATTTTAGTCCAGTGCCCTAGAGATCTGTGTTTTATTCGTTACATAACTTACGTGTTACAATTTCTTTAGCGAGTATATTTTTAGAGACCTGCCTAATCCTTTATTACATTGCAGCTTTTGAGAAAAAAATGATAAAAGATGATACATAGACAGACACACACACACAATAAATCCAGAGCAACTTAAAAGAACAGAGATTAATCGGGAAGTGAGGTGAAGAAACTTCAGCTCTATAGATGTCAGACAAAGAAGTGTACCAGGAAAGCACCTGCCCTAAGACATCAATTACAGAACCACAGATGGACACTATCAAAAATGATTAGGCACATCCATTAGAGGTTGAGTCACTTCAGATCTATTCTTAAGCATTCCTCCTACTGCTTTTATTGTTCCCCCACACGTCCTGCTCATAAAGAAGCTTTTAAGGACAAGTGATTGGGTGGCAGCAAACTGGCCTAAAACCTCAGGGATGCGTGCTTTTCATCAGCCTCACTTTGAAGCAACACACAGAACAACCTCATCCTGTCCTTGTAATGACAAAAGCAGCTGACCAAAGACTGAGATAGAGACTAATTAACAAGGACGCCCAGAGATAAGTGTGCAGTAAAAGACAAAAATAAACAGCACGGTCCCTCTTCACATGGGTTTTCACAAGAGAGCTACCTCCATTTGAAGAGGAAACATTGCAATCTGTACAGTAGTGCCACCGGGGACTGGCTCACCTTCACAAGCCCAGTGGAGCAGAGGAAGAGAGAGGGGAGAGAAGGGGAGTGTGTGTGTGTGTGTGTATGTGGGGGGGGATAACGGAGGGAGGCAAGGGGTGGGAGATGCAGGGTTTGACAGGTCGACCAGGCAGGATGGATGTTTATGAGGAGGGAGAAGAGCAGACGCAGCAGGATGGAAGGCTCTCCTGGGGCTGCAGGCTGATTCTGCAGGCAGGCTGTCTGCGGGCCGTCCAGACTGGAGGCTGGACTCTAAGCTCCAGAGCTTAGAGTCTGGCAGCAGTGAAATAAAGCTGCCAGCCTAGCTCCAGCCAATTTGACTTCGTCAAATATTTGTAATTAAGATTTGCTTTTATATCACTTGCTGTGATAAATTTCACATAAACTGAGTGACGCTCAGTCTTAAATTACTCAGTGTTATGCAAAATTGATCCTTTCTTTTGAGTTCACGCTGCATGCAATTATGTGTAGAAAAGATATAAGAAGCGTAAGGCTGATTTGTGAGGAGAAAGCTACCCAACAAGTAGAGCTGGGCGATATGAGATTTTTTCATATCACGATATGTTTTTTTCATTTCAGGCGATAACGATATATATCACGATATAAGCCAAATAACTATATTTGTAAGATTTAAATGTGCCGTTGCTCACAAGTAAAATGTGAAATAATCAGCAGCTTGTTTTTATTTAAATATTTATTTCCCATAATAAGTTCAACAGGGTAGATGTACTTAAGGAACATGAGACTTTTTCAGATAAATAAAGGCAAATATTGCAAACTACACAAAAGGCAGCCGCTAAAGCGTTTAAGTTTCAAAATAGGACAAACGAAACAGACTAAATTGTCAATTCCACTTAGAAACAAAATATTAATTCTAAAAATAAATCTTAGTTTGTTTTACAGAAGAACAGACAAAACTGACTAACTTTTGTCAATATCAAATAAACTGAGAACTAAAAGGAAATTCTCAATCTCTCCTTGTTGTATAGCTGAGCTTTTCAAACAGTTTTAACAGTTACTTTAGTCTGACAAAAGCCGAATGACGAATTAGCGCTCCCAGTCAGAGACTGAGGCTACGTCCACACGTACACGGGTATTTTTGAAAACGGAGATTTTCCGTTTTCGTTTTAAAAATAATCCCGTCCACACATAAAGGCAGAAATGAAGGAAAACGCTGCTATGAACATGCCAAAGCAGCAGGTGGCGCTAGATTCCTAACCGTGCCTAAATGTTGGCCAATCAGAAGTCTAGAAGCCTCGGTGGGAAAAAGTAAACAAAGCTGGGGCATAGAAGCAGAACAGAGTCGTATGTGTGGACCGACAGTAACTGTGTGTATATGTAAGCATTTAAACACTGCAGAGAGTAGAATTAACAGTATTGTAGAAATTCATTTCACCGAAACAATAACGTGGCGCAGTGTGACGCATGCACCAGTTTATTGTATTTCCAGACTTGCTTTCGGCACAATTTACAGTGCACGCTATTTTTGTCAGACTTGAAATAGCTGAAATACCTTCACACTACGGAACTTCTATGGCTCTTCCGTTCGACAATCTCTCCGGCATTGGAACCATCATCTGTTTTCTCTTCGGTCACGCTCGGTTGATTTTTCTAGTCGGCACACTCATTTCCTCCATTACGCGCTGGCTCCATTACCCGCTGGCTGCTTCCCAAACAAACACACGTGCGGCTTGGCACTTGTGCTGTACATAACAAGTCACGCGACGTGACGCTGCGGCTGTGATTGGTTCGGCTCTGCGCTACTTAATTTGGATTGGCTGACCTTTTTTATTTTTATTTTTTTTTGAGGACAAGAGCGGCGAGGTCTATCGCGATAGCTTAATTTCTCTATCGAGTAAAAGTTATATCGCGATACATATCGTTATCGTTCTATCGCCCAGCTCTACCAACAAGACATTCCCACAAATACACAGTTAATGGAAAAAAATAATTTCTTTTGTCCTGAAAGATTAATTAGAGTTTTCACAATTGAACTTGTATTCACAACATGAGGTTCAAAGATGTGCTGATGCAACTAGATGAGGCCATCATTAGGCCGAACAAAAAAGTGGGGAGAAAAGAAAAAAATATATATAAATCACAGTCCTCAACCTTCCTGGGAAAGTCAAGGCCCGGGTGCTGGAAAGCAGAGTCCGTCTGTTAGTCGAACCTCAGATACAGGAGGAACAATGCAGGTTTTTGTCCCAGTTGCGGACTCTTTACCCTCTTGACGATACTTGAGGGTGCACGGGAGTTTGCCCAAACAGTCTACATGTGTCTTGTGGACTTGAAGAAGGCAATCGATCATGTCCCTCCGAGTGTTCTCTCTGAGGTGCTTCAATAGTATGGGATTGTCTGGCCTGTGGCTACGAGCCATTCGATCTTTATACAACAACTGCAAGAACTTGGTCCGAATAGTCGGCAATAAGTTGGACTCGTTCCCGGTGGGAGATAGACTCAGGGTCTTAAGTTTTAATGCAATACTTCTGGGAGAATGAATTACAGATAAAAGTCTGCACTTCAAACTTGTCGTGATTGTTTGATTTAAAATCCACTGTGGTGCTGTACAGAGGCAAAGGCAATAATTAATACTTATTTAATATATATGTTTAAAAAAAAGTAAAAGTGTACAGAAAGATAAATTTATATTAATATATTTAAAAATCCTGTTGTTAACATAGTTGCAGAGGTCATGATGACTCTGATTTTATTATATTTTTATTACAGTCAAGGACTAACCTTACAATCACCATGCCTCAAAAGCAACGGCAAAGCTAAAAATGGAAAAAAAGCCTCTGAATAATGCAAGATTGAGGTGTGATGAAAGGTGTGCCCAAAGAAATTAATGAGACCCACTTTCACATTGATTGTGGCAGGGCAGAAAGCTAATCTGAGCTGCACTTGGGTGGCTTTTCTGTGGACAAACCTATTTTCAAGAGTGCTGATGTCCTCATTTAGACCACGAGTCTTCGGTTCTTGGGAAATTGAGATGGAGACGGAAATGTTGGTGTAGCTGCCTGTGATTGCAACTGAGTCATACCTCTTCAAAGCATGCACTCGAGTAAATCACATGGGGTTTGTGTGTGTGTGTGTGTGTGTGTGTGTGTGTGTGTGTGTGTGTGTGTGTGTGTGTGTGTGTGTGTGTGTGTGTGTTAGCAATAATAATTGAGAGCACTGTAGGTCATTAGTCACCCTGACACTAAGCTCAATGTCTGTATTAGAGGCACACTGCCCTTTACACTCCTCACTGGGCAGTGCAAGAAGTTCCTTTCTCATGCATTTCTTACTTTAGGTGTTTCACTCCTTTTTCCATGGTTTCTAAAACTTTGTGTAGCTTGAAGAAACTCTGTATCTGTACACTGCATATAACTAAAATGACTCAAAGAGCAACAAACAATTACATTTCTCTTATCAGTTACTCTACCCACTGTCTTATCAAGTAATTCTCTCAATTCCAAGATGAAGCAAGATAATATCTACGAATGCCATATTTTGTCTTATTATAAATATTCATGCAAATGTATTATATTTGTTCATAAAAGAAAGTTCATAGCACATACTGTGCTAGCACATATGCAGTTTTTGGTCCACACAAAAGAATATTGTGAAACGATATGTGAGAGAACAGAGAGAAAACATTGCAAATTTATGACTTTAAGACATGCCCAAAGGGCTTTCTTTGCTTGAATCTTAATCTGCACATCAAACTGGAAAAAACATCGCCTACTTCAGAAATATTTTTCCCAGAGTCATGAACATAGAGAAACTACAGCAAGTATAAGGTATAAATGTAAGACAGCTTAGTTGACATCAGCAAAAATGTTGTACTCTAATAAATGTGATTAGTAGCACATTATACAAGAACCAAGGACAAACCAACAAAAGCCCCTAATAGATCTTAAAGGTCTTATAACGGAGCCTTGATGAATCTAAAGACGATGGTGAAGTTATACTGAAAAAATTTGAGTTCA